TTTTGCCTTTTGTTAATATTACCTAATATGCAGGGCTAAATTTCAAAGCCATAATTCAAATGCTAGCATTGACTGCTACATACTTTGCAGAAGATATGATGTCAAAACACTGGAGGAGCAATTGGTCAAAACACTGGTGGGTATATAGCTAAACCAATCAATGAACTTTACTAGTTAATCATATCAACCAGTCACTTATATCAACCAGTCACTTACTTAAATCAATCAGTGTACTACACCAGTCAGTCTGACATCTAAACAAATCTGTCAGTCAGCTAAACCAGTCAGTCATCTAAACAAACCAATAAGTCATCTAAACCAGTCATTTAAACAAATCTGTAAGTCAGCTAAACCAGTCAGACATCTAAACAAATCTGTCAGTCAGCTAAACAAGTCATTTAGACTGCATCTCCTAGCTTAGGCATGTTATGATGTTTATGATAGTGATGATGAAGGGTTAGAGGTAGTGGAAGTGCTTACTGTTATAATACTTGAAGATAAAGCCTTTAGTCTTGTACAAAATGTTTGATCTTATTCTTTATACAGTTATCATTGTCAGAGCTACTCGAGTGCCAGACACTTTCAACCAAAAAGTTTTCTTAAACAAGATACTTAACTCAATCTATTAAGGTCTGCCATAAAATTGAGGTAAACCCTTTTAAATTGTATAACATCTTTGACTAGTTTACTTTATCCACCATTGTCATACTTTCTCCATTACACTTAGAGCCAGAAATCCAAAGTTCTTTTTTTATCAGCAAAGTTTTTCACAGCACAGGAACGATATCAAAGTCCTTATCAGCTGCTAGATTTAGATTTGTGCTAATGATCACATAAAAACAAAAGGCATTTGAAATTAGATATATTGAGAGGGTGCCAAATTTGAGAATTTAGACTGATAAATGAAGCAAGCCCAGATAGTGATGCTCCATTTTTTTTGGTTCCAGGTACAAACAGCTAAGATTTTGGAAATGGCGTTTCTGCTGTAATTTGCCAGCTTGTTTCAGTATTTATATTAAGGAACAGGACAATTCAGAGCGTCTGTAAGGCTAAAAGGTCCTGCCGCTAGTTAATGATTGAGTTGGAAATGTATCAAAACTGCTTAAATTTTGTATGATATATCTGACAACATGTTTCTTGCATTGTTTTCTGTACCTGGTTACTTTTCATTCTTTGTTAGAATGATTTTAGAGGAGATTTTGGAAGGACATGAGCGTTTTATTTTTTATTTGCATGTAAGAAAGCAGGCTACTCATAAACAGGCTGTAAAAGACATACATAGCAAGGGAGCTGCAACATACATTCCAACTTCTATAGTACTTTCAGTAGTAAGAACATCATAATAATGATCATGTTTTTTGTCATTGTTGTTTTGCTTAAGGAAAAAAATTCTTGTCAAACACTGTTGTCATCTTTATTGAAGCACAGCTGTACTGTACAGAAAAAAATGCATTATTTCAGTCCATCTTTTCTTGTTTCTATTTTTTCCACACTATTACTGCTTATAAGCCTCGATTTTCTGAGAGTTTTTACCACAGCCTTTGTTAACAGCTTGGTACCCAGCCAGACTTCGGTGCCTTGTTACATCCCAAACTGTTTGATTCAAAGTTACCCTTATAATTTTTCAAATTTGTAAAAAAATGGATAGATTTGAAAAAAGTAAGCTTGCAACATTTTTAGCAGACGACAATTTTTCCCAGCATGCAAAGGGATAAACCATGAAATGCGTTGTGCAATTTTGAAACATGCATCAAGTATAAGTAAAATAGACAGAAAGTGTGTTTTGTGAAGAATAATTACAAGAATTATTATTACTGAGAATAAAGACGTAATTATGTGGACAAATATGTTCTACACGTCAGGTATCACTCACTGTAAAGTGTTATATTTGACATATTTATTATCTGACGTGGGACATAAATTTTTACTATTCCACATTCTGCGTTAATGTGTAGAAATGTATTACTCGCAATAAAGATCTTGACAAAAAATAAAACTTTTTTTTTATCAAAATAGTTGATAAAATGTGACTGTTTGTTAAGAATAACTTTAAAAAAAGTTTTAACTAAATTTAAAGGCATTTGTCATTTGCATGGAAGATGGATGTTTTGTCCATTTACGTTAATTAAGTTGATTTATAATGTACATGATGTTCACATTAAGCTGATATATTACTTTAAACAAACATTGATTTAACATGATTTATGACAACTATAAAGTATTGTTCAAAAATCTTTAACATGTTATTTATTTAACAATGACAAATTATACAAAATTCTATCATTTTTTTTTTGAAAGGTGAATCAACTTTTCATTTTGAATTAGAATTAAAATTTCATCCTAAAAAAATACCAATGTAATATTGAATTTCCTAGAGTTCTACAATGATAAAAAAAAAACTGTACATAAGAAAAAAAAAAAGGATATATCTTGATAAATTGAGATCATGAGTGTTTCTTGGAAAGAAAAAAGCTGAAATAAGTAATGTTCTAGTTGACACATGTTTCCTTTAAACAGAGAGAAATGCTCAAGTTTCCCATGTTTCCATAAACTCCAGTCTGTTAAAATCATTAAATAATATATCATCTTAGCAAAAATAAAATCTGACATTCTGGCAGTTGGGGCAATTTTTGCAGGTATCCTGTAAATACCGTATTTATCTTATTAACCCTGCCCCAGTTTTTTAAAAAAAAAAGTAATTCATGTAAAAAATGTCTCGAAACTTTAATAAAGATAAATACACCATGACATAACCACTAAAATGGCCTCACTATTACTTTAGAAACAAATAAATTTGTCATTTTGATATTTATTTGTAAGTATTAATACCTACCAAGATTTCATTGAATGAAACATTTTATTCATGGTCCAGTTTTAGAGAGTTTATGGTAATAAAAAAAAAGAAGCTAAGTAATTTTCTTGAAAAATGTTCTGGTCACTACTCCCACTCAACACCATGTGGAGAAATTGTATCTTGTTACCTTGGTAACAAAAATATCAACATATGGCATGCATACTGATACAAAATCATGTAGAGAAATGTTGAATTATTTTTTGGGGGTTCATATTTGAAGGGAAGAACACAAGATATCAATTATCTATGAGTCAGAGTGTCACCATCTACAATTACTGCATATCGCACCCAAAAAAACTCCTTGTGTCATTATATTTAGCCAATTTGTTGTATGCAGTGTCCTCCCCATTGCTGCTGTAACATTTTTATCAAGTATATATAGGGTTACTTGCATTGTTTTATGTTGAATCCTCAATCTGTTCTCATTGTTTCAACATATTTTGAAGAAAGTTTTGTACAGAAAGCAATTTTGTTTGTACTTTGATTGTCTGGACCAGCTGTTATAAAGTTTGAACATTATAATAGTAATTTTATATACACACCATATGTCAATTTTATAATTAAACTTTCCATTGTTTACAATAATTATATGAGGGATTTTGTTGTATGTGATGCTTTTAAGGGCTGTGAGTAAACTGAACTTTATGTATTGTCAACTTGTTACAGTTATCAACATAATGTAAATGTTTTGTAACTTTTGACATAACTTCCAGTACCTATGTTCAATTTTTAGTTCTTAGATGTTTTGCAACTTTAGACATATCTTCTGATACATGTATATGTTCAGTTTTTCAGTTCTTTGTTTTGTTGGTTACTTGTTTATTTCTCCACAGATTCACAAAAAACACTGTTTATATATCTCAAGATAGACAAGTTTGATTGTATTGAACTTGTTAAGGTATATTTGGATATGATAAAATAGCTTATTGTATAGAATTGCCCTCACAAGGAGAGTTATCTTTCCATGGCTTTGTCTTTCTTCTTGCTTTAAACATTATAAACAAACCCCAGTAAGATGATCAAACTGTTTGAAATAAATGTTTCAGTATATAAATCAAAAAGATACATTACAAATTAATGTCCAGTTTGTCTGAGAGGAACGTAATTAACAAGTTTGTATATCTAGTTTGTGAAGATTATTGGCAATAATTTGCTGGTCTTTTTGTTTGATGGAATGCTTGGTCATTGTCATAAAAAAAACCTATCTTTGTAATTTATTGATACAACACATCATAAATTGGTTGTTAATTAAACGTTAATTACCATTTCTTGTACCTCGGTGATCATTCTTGACCTTGTTGAAGTACAAGATATTGTAAACGTGTACAAAAGATTGTTAACATGTTCCAAATATATAATTACACAACTCTGTCAAATAGCTGAACTTAGGGTTGGTATAATTTCTTGACCAGTTCTGTTGTTGTTTGCATTGATTATGACAAATGGAAACTTTTGGCAATACCGGTTCTTGGACATAAAAATTATTTAGATACTTTGATGTTTTAAATCTGGAGACAAATTAGTTCTAGTTTTATATTTAGAAAGGTGGACAAAATATCTTACAGAATGGCCGGCCTCTTGCTTGATTTACAGAAATTTGTAAGCATGAGTTGGTTTATTTAACAAAATATTGTTGAAAAAATGGAAAAAAACAAACAACAACACAAAAGCCCACAATTGGATTGTTTAAATAGGTTTAAAAAAAATGGATCATATGTCTTACTGTTTAAGAACATAAAAAAAAATGTGGTTTAACTAATAAAAGATTCAAACATTGCTGTCATTTTAAAGTCGAACAATGTCTAAGAAAATTGTATGGAACAGAATAAAGCTCATGAATATTCCTCCAAATTTCTCAAAAAACTACTTGTGTATGTTCTTGCGTGAGCTACAAGTATCTGAATTAAGTTAACATTTCCGGAGAGATTTCTTGAATTTACATTATGAAACAGAAAACCTTTAGATTTTGTTTCTCAAACACCTATCCTCTAATACTGTTTCTAATTTTACCTGATCCGCAGATAGGGAATATTTTTGGCCTAGCTTTACATGTTTACACTGCTCAAGGAATTATGGGAAATGAGAGAAGTTCGAAGTTCAGAGGTGCATATAGAGTTCTTACGTTGGTTTAAGAAAATGTGTTTCATGAAAACTGGTTGAAATTTTCAGATACAGAATGGAAGTTAATATAAACAAAGATGTATATTTATCTATAATTAGTTCAGCATTCTTTACTGTGATAATTTCAAAGAAATATACACAGGAAGTTGGTAAATCTATGTCAATGATGTAGCAAGCCAGAGAGGCATATCAGCACTATTTCATTGGTGTGTGTAAATATGTACAAAACAGTCTTTGTTTTCAGTGTAAATTCTTCAAATTATGGATAAACAAAGTGATTTTCTGGACTAAGTTGTGAATTTTGAGATGACTTTGTGAAGACTTGAAGATTTTGTGGATTTATATTGAAGCTATAAAAAACTGGTATGTAAGTATTTAGGTTATTATACACAAACTGACATAGTAATGGCAGTGGAGATAATTGGGTTAGATTGATACTGCTGTAAACACATGGTTCTGTGTATGTTCTATAGTATGTCTTCATAACACGCACACATAGAAAAAAAACATACAAAAATATGTAACCTCTTTATGAAAGTTATGTATATCTAAAAAAATTAGATTTACCAGAGTGTGAAAAAGAAAAATGTTTTAAAATGTATTCTATTTCCTTTGTTTTTGTTTGTTTATTGAATCATCCCGGCTACAGAATGTCCATGGATTTCCATGGATATAAGCATGGACAGTGTCCATGGAGTATTGAAACACTTGTCCATGGACAATTCTTTATATCCCTGGACAGTGTCCATGCTATCCATGTCCATGCTTTCCATGTCCATTGTCCATGATACCCATGGACAATGTCCATGATGTCCATGGACAATGTCCATTCTTACCATGGACAATGTCCATTCTTACCATGGACAATGTCCATTCTTTCCATGGATAATGTCCATTCTTTCTATGGACAATGTCCATTCTATCCATGTTCAAAACCAATTTTGAGGAATCTTTTATAACATCCATGGTCATTGTCCATGATATCACACTTGTGTTGAGATACCTGTTTAAAAGTCTGTAAAAAAAGGTCCCACATAATCTTTTTCACTTGGGAGTTGCACTAGTGTAACAATGATTTTGAATTGACAAGGCTGTAAAATTATGACACATTAAAGATTTATTACACCATATATGAAGTAAAACAAGTTCTCAAATGTTCTCATTTATATTGTTCTGAATGGCTAAAACGGCCACAGTTTATTTTGTACACATATTTATTGTTTCACTGTTTTGTTGGCACGAGATGGCTTGACAATGTCACGCAGCTTTTCCCTGACCATCACTGGTGTGACATGCGGAAAATTCCTTTTGATGATATCTGTAAAGAACATAACAAATTATATAAATATTGACTTGACAAATCAATGTAATATACTTAACCCTTGAATAATTAACAATTCAAATTATCTACATGGACGAGTAGCAATTTGAAGACACTTAAAAGTCCTGCAAGACGATTGGCTATGAAAAAAATTTTCAATCCCTGTTAAAAACTTCCAATGAAATTCAAAAACTTTCAATGAAATTTAAATAACCAAAAAACAAAAAAAAAAAGAAACACTGACCGTAAATTCCTGTCAACTTTTCTTGGTCAACAGGTGGCCTTTTTTCGCCACTTTTGGATGCTTTCCCTGTCAATGATTTTCCGGCATATTCCTCCTCTTTATACAAAAAGCGGAATAGAACAATGGCCATCTTACTGTAGGTGGTTATGCCAATAACCTTGCTCTGCAGTTGGTCCTGAAATGTAATATTGGCATTTTCAGTTCTTTTGGATTCTTTGTTATCAATTTTAGTTCTGACATCATTTGTAGCATTTTTGAGCTTAATTCATAACATAACACCATTTTTATTAACGATTAACGAGGTTGCCCTTTACAATATAATTAGTATTGTTTAAACATGATTGATCAAAAACATGAAAGGGTGAAAAAAGTTAAGATGGAAAACTTTCAATTAAATGATTTTTGCAGAATATCAGCACATAGTTATCAAGTAAACACCATGCTTTGATGAAAATGAATCATTTTTGGTCAAAATCAACATTATAATAAACTTGTGTCAATTATTTCCCTGCTTTTCCTATATTTATATAATGACAACTTTATGTAATGGGAGTTAAAATTACTCAATCCTTCACAAGTACTTAATTACCAGATTTGTTCAGTGGAGTCAGTATAACAATAATATATGTATAAAACATGAAGAACAACATTTTGTTCAGACTTTGGAAAATAACATGCATTTATATGAAAACATGTTACTTTGACTTTTTTCAACAAAACAAACTAAATTATTACCAGGATGGTTTTGAAAGCATTCTGTATTCAACAGTACATTATCACTTTTCCCTCATCTGACATCCTTTGAGTTGAAACATCTCATGTGACTCCAAGACTTGAAAGTTTGCAACCTAATAATAATATGTTGAAAAAATAAACATATGTACATGAGTAACAAGAAATTACAATTAAGGCATATTATGAATTTTATTAAATGTGAATTTGGAAATTCATTGCTTGATTAATCACCAATATTTTGAATGTAAAATTGTAATCTCTGATTTAAAATTTCCCGCCATTATTTAAAAATGAAAAACTTGATTTCCTTAACTATTTATATTGAAAAGTTACATGTATGTAGAAACACAATAACTGAAACAGTGTATACTTACAAAGAAAGTTTGAAAAAACTAAAAAAATAAGTGTTAAAAAATAAAAATACATTTGTACTTACTGTTAGAAATGGTTATATACATGTAGTTCCCTCCATTTTAACTGAATCATGAAATACACATGTTTAAAAGTTCATATTTCCAGAAAACTCTTGTAAATTTGTCCAGTTTAAACTCATTTGGTCTAATTTCCAATGCTCCAACATAATATTTCAAGTTATAACTTTTAAGCAGTATAATATTAAGGCACTAATAAACATTATCTTTCAATGCTCCTGTTCAAATGACCCGCCTGGAAGGAGTGTTCTGACCTGTGATTTGTTCTGCAAGGGTATTAAGTTACTTGGGAGCTACAGTGTAATATAGTATGTTGTAAACCTGCTTTACCTCTTTCTATTCTCTTATATCAGATAGGTGAGTTTAACATTGGTAGTTATGAAAACAGCAGGTTCCACTTGAGGGGTCATAAATATTTACATTGTGGCTGATGCTAATTTGAATGTTCCAGAAATTAATCACTATACATAAGTAACATCTACACAGGATGAATATATAAATTATATAATTATACTTCAATAGAGATACATAATAATAATTAATTTATCATCAATTAATAAATAAATATAAGTGCATAACAATTACATTTGTTCTTAAATTTAAATTTAAACAAACCTAAACAAGTCTACAAGTAGTTAGACTAGATTATCTTTTTATGTAATTGAAATGGTATGCATAAGGGTACAGTATATTTTTCTATATTATCATTTAACTGAAGTTTGGAATTTAAAAAAAAAAAAAATCAAAAAAAAATCTACTTGATCTTACTATATTTGATTTCTTCTTTTCATGCTGATTAATTTGATACCCAATATGAACATATAATTTTTTGAAGAATGGCAGTTATGATTTTTTTAAACATTTTTCATGTTTTGGCACTTAGATTTTTTTTGCATATCCATCCAATCACTTTTGATAAAAATTTCTAAGTATGAGCAATGAAGTTGACCATGGACAATGTCCACATTAGACATAGTTTTTTTGTACTATGTCCATGAACATTTTTATATTCCCTGGACGATGTCCATGTAATTCATGGACATCGTCCATGTTATCCATGTTGTTAGTATGGACACTGTCCATTCACTTGACTTATCCATGTATTTCCATGCTCTTTCCATGGATATCCATGGTCATTTTAAGGCTGTCCATGGACAATCTATAGCCGGGATAATAATTTAATTTAATATTCTTTTACTCTTTTTTTTATACATTCCAAAACAAAAAATATATTCATTCAATGTCAGTTGTGAAAAAGAATTATGTTATTTACATATGAAGCACTTGATACAATGCATTTTAGTATGCATAAGATAAAAAAAAGTTATATACTTATTTTAATATTTATATTCCCACTCCAATGTTAACTGAGTAATGATATGGATATTTTAACATGCAGGTTGTTGTACATATGGTAATGTAGATTGAAAAAGTAACAAACTTATAATTAGGTATACAATTAACATAATGTTCTTTGTGTTTCTATGTTTGCTTTATTTAATGAATAGTCCATGTGTACTAGAGCTATTTAGTTCTGGGAAGAGACTGCTTGACCATTAAATGTAAAGAACAAGAATAGTTAATTATCTTAGTAATTAGTTTACCATATGAGGCAAAATGTTAAAAAAAATCATCAGCAAATTTAGGGGGCTACCCTGTGGAACCTCAGATAAGATAAGAACCCCATTCGTCTCCCTCAACCCCCACAGAAAATTCTGTGTCTGCCCTTAAAAAGATTTCATTCACTAAATGAATGATTGATTGAATGGGAATTTCTCTATACAAAATATATGACTAAATTTGTCACACTGTCATTATTATAGCCTAACCCTACTGAAGTTATATTATGGACTAAAATTGTACTTTTATCGAACTTTCGGAACTAGTTTATAAGTATCTCTTCAGGGATTATGATCATTCAGAAGCCAACATCTTAAAGAGCCTGGTCAGACTGTGAGGAAGTGTGGGATAGCTCTGCTCTATAGTACCTTAGATTTTCATTTCATAACTTAAATTCACAGATCACTTATGAATCAGTAATGACTAGAACCAACCATTTATTCTTATCCATATATCAAATAAATATATGACAGAAATGGAAGGTGACAAATATTGCCTAATTTATACCAAATATTGAAAAGTAAAAATGTTAAATTTATTCAGGTCAATAAAATCAATCATGATAAAGGCTATAATTATGTTTACCCCTTATTTAGTTAAGAAGTATTATGTTTTAATAGAGATGTTCTATGTACTAACATCCCTTCCAACATAAGAAGGGAATACATTTTGAAACTTATGCTAAATATATCTAGACAGTCGGACGGACTTCCTTAGTTCAATACAGATACAGTCGTAACAACACAATAAATACACATAGCAAAGTTGACACTTGCTGTCAGACTGGTAAAAACCATACAAGTTAAAACAGAGAGAACATCTTATAACATGATTTATCATTTAACATTCTCATGTTTTGTCATTTCAAAGTTTGTATTTAGCTACTATTTCAGAAACAGGTTGTTTTCGGTTGTTTACATAGGTTTTAGACAGGTTGTCTCATATTGTGATCACTTCATATAAGATTTTACAGTGATCACTTCATATAAGATTTAACAGTGATCACTTCATATAAGATTTTACAGTGATCACTTCATATAAGATTTAACAGTGATCACTTCATATAGGATTTAACAGTGATCACTTCATATAAGATTTAACAGTGATCACTTCATATAAGATTTAACAGTGATCACTTCATATAAGATTTAACAGTGATCACTTCATATAAGATTTAACAGTGATCACTTCATATAAGATTTAACAGTGATCACTTCATTTAAGATTTTACAGTGATCACTTCATATAAGATTTTACAGTGATCACTTCATATAAGATTTTACAGTGATCACTTCATATAAGATTTTACAGTGATCACTTCATATAAGATTTAACAGTGATCACTTCATATAAGATTTAACAGTGATCACGGTATAATAAGATTATATGTGTGTTATTATATGTGTGTTATTGTGTGTGTTTCTAGACAGGTTGGTTTGTTTTGTGATCATTTTATACAAAAACTTGGTGATTTTGTGATCTTTGTGAAAAAAGGGTATTGAAGTACATATTTGGCTATTTTTTTCACACAATGATAGATGTATTGAAGAACATGATTATTTAAATAGTTAAAAGAACTTTACTGAGGTCCAAAGGCCTGAAAATGTAAAATTTTGAAAATCTTAAAATATCAAGTGAAACACTGAAAATGGAAAAAATTGCAAATGATAACAAAGACATAAATTCAGAATTAACTTGAAAATCAATTTTCACTACAATTCTTAACCTGGCAGATTTGAGTGAAAGGTGTTGCAATGCCTTTCACTTTTTGGTCATTTTGCACAAAAAAAATATTATTCAAGAGAAACAGAACAAGGGATCAACACAATGGTCCAGACTTTCACAAGTTGGTACACAAATCTTGGAAAATATTTCCAGTCCTGTCATTTCAATAAAAACTTAGTGGAATCTTTTTAAACTTGTCTTTGTTTTTTCTATTGAAAAAAAATTGTTGTGCTCAATTTCTTGTGTTGATAGACCGCCTGCCAAAAAAGGTCTCTCTGTGTCTTAATACACAGGTCAGCAACAAATGATAGATAAATTTGGGATTTGAAATGTTAAAAGATACAAGATTTGAGGGGTTTTGAGATTCACAGGTAGTTGATACTTTATATATAGAGCATTTTGAGATTTTCAGACACTTTGATTTGAAGATGTTTCACAGGGCTGTGTAAATACTAGCACTCCCCACATTCACCTTCGTGGAGTGTTTTGGAATTTTTTTTTTTAAATGATTATAAAAGATTAACAAATTACAGGATGTTCATGTAATTGATAATTGAAGTAGTTAAGCAGTGTTTTTGTTTACAGTTCTATATGTTGTCAATCAAGGTACATTATGAAGGTCAGGCCCATCACTTCACACACCACCTGTACACCAAAATATGCTGAACAACTGATAAGGAAGTTGTTTTTGTGGTCTTGTTGTCAGACTGGTTCCAGCTTACCTGAACTTAGTGAATTATTGCCTTGAATAGTGTGTGAACTAACAGATAAAAATATGTACTGTTTCGATAAAGCAATATAATAAGTAAATCATGTAAAAAAGCAGTGAAAACTGCCAAGATTTTGTCAATCCAGGTCATGATTTAAATTGTCTGTTATTTGGATTTTATTTTTAGATATTTTTCATATAGATATAACATACAGAAAAAAAATACAACAAACTTTAACTTTTTAAGTCAGAGGTGTATTAATGATTGATTTTAGACATCGTTGATTTCAAAGATTTATTTAAATTTTAATGTGTTTATACATATTTATTTACTTATTCTTGTAGTAACTAATACCTTCAAAAAATATTTTTCAGTCAATGTTTTGAAAGGACTACTTCAAGTCAGAGTTTCAAGGCTATAGGATATTTTCATTGTTTGAAACCAAACTTTAAGAAACAGTTCATCATAAGTGATGTCTTCAGAAACACAACAATTTTTTTTTAAATCAGATATGAAATGAAATTGACCTTTGAAAGTGACCTTTCATCAGAGATCACATAGTTTTTCACACCATAGATTTTGTAGATTTTATATACTCATCAAGCCATGACAGGTGAAACTTGATCAGGGACATCAGTTGTAAGGTTTTGTGATAGATGTAGCTGTTTTCGTGTTATATCTCTCAGTAGTTTATTGTAATCTTCTGACGTGCCCCAAACTTTCTTTATGCAGAGATTTTAAATGTATCTTCCTGAATTATTGTATTAAAATTTTGATGTTTGTAAGTTTAAAACTGTTTTGGGAAAGTCGAAACAGTACAAAAAATTTTCATATTTCCATGTTTAACTCTTGTCCTTTAAGTTTTTGTGATAGTGATTGGAGAAACGTGATTTTTTCTTGAACATTTTGAATTTTTTATCCTGTTTGAAGCTTTACCATCTTATTTACTAAGTGAATTTACACTATCGCCATGATTTTTGCTGAAGAAAGATTAGTAAAACAGAAGCAGATTTTTATGTGCTTGATTGTAATTTGGAACAGTTTTGGTGTACTACAGAACAATGTTCTCCGGTTCTGCACCATTTTGACACATCTGTGGATATAAAATCTTAAAAAACTCTTTGTTGCAAAAAACAGGTCTGTTTGCGTGTTTCTAAGTTTACAATATCAAGAAGCTGTAATCAGTTTATCAAATATCCTGCATTTCATAACATTAGACTGAAGCTGTTAGAAAACCAGAGCACATGTAACCAGGCACGTCTGATGAAAATTACACAAAATTTGTTTCATTAACGGAGGGAAAGCATGTTGATGTTAACTAGCAAGGCAAATTGTCTATAATATTACCGAGGTACAGGCTGATACTCACTTTCAGCAAACATTCTTGATGCAAGACTTGAATGTTTGCACACCAATGTTGAGTCAATTAGCAGATTTTTTGTAGATTTAGAGAAGGCTGTGTCATTAAAGACAGATTTTGTTACAAAGATCACAGGTTCATTCTTTCTGTATTTTTATTTCCCTGTAGCTGATCGTTGTCTGATAAAAGCTTGCAAATATTCAACTTTTGTTTTCTGCTATTGTAATTGTTTGTCAGTTTGAAAAAGAAAGTATGTGATGAAAAAAAAGAGTTGTAAAGTGATGTAACCATACCATAGCTAGCATTTATTGTGAGTTGTATCTTTTGGGATTCAAAGTACCTCGACTTCCCTTTTACACTTTTTCAAAGTACCTCAACTTCCCTTTTACACTTTTACAAAGTACCTCGACTGCCCTTTTACACTTTTTCAAAGTACCTCGACTTCCCTTTTACACTTTTACAAAGTACCTCGACTGCCCTTTTACACTTTTTCAAAGTACCTCGACTGCCCTTTTACACTTTTTCAAAGTACCTCGACTTCCCTTTTACACTTTTTCAAAGTACCTCGACTTCCCTTTTACACTTTTACAGAGTACCTTGACTTCCCTTTTATACTTTTACAACTGGTAGATCCTTGAATAAACCAGTTTAAAACCATACTAATGCTTGATGTGTGTTCTCTCCTCTTTATTTACTTGTTACTGTTTGATAGTTGACAATATTTTGCTTATACCCCTAGTCACGATTAACATCCCGTCCCCCTCATTGGAAACATAATATGTATCATGCTAATACTAGCATATAGAAGGATATCATAGATACAGTATGAAGCAATTGGGTTCTGATGATCCAGGGGTTATCCCTTGGATTTGTTTCTTCTACCTCCCATCTTAGCTGAATCCGTACAAAAAGGTTACCTTACTAACAAGACATTAGCAATAAGCATATTCTTATTTTTCTATCATATCCCAAGTGTTTTTTATTTTTACCTGAGGATTATGAAACATACGCTATAAAGTATATGATCTATGGAGAATTTTCACTAGCTTGTGATGTTTGCAATGAAGACTTGTGAGTATAAGCTCATAAAGAAAGAATGGCTTAAGTTATGACTTATTTATTGTGCTGTGTGTAAGGGAGAAGCTATTAAAACTACTTTACACATTTTTACTACATCTATTGTAAGCTCCTTGTTAAATCTGCCAGATTCTGGAAAAAAGATTTTATATATTTTATATACTTCTTGTGGGAGAGAAAAAAATCTTCAAATAAATCTGTATCAAAGACAATAAAATAAATGAAAACTATTTACTGTGTATTTCTGGTGTTTAACAATGCTACAGTTGGTATTCATTATTTTGGTTTTACTGCAGCAAAAACAATGCCAAATAATAACATCATAAGCATTTCATACTCATATTATGTTAACACAGTATTTTCTATCGATAATTATTTTGTTTTTCAAATATTTTTTCATTTCCCTGAATCAAGCTGTAAAGATACTTTTTCAGAGTCTCATCCTAATCACTATTCAATTCTCAAAATAAATCTTTACCATTGGTCAATTCTTTTGTTCAGAATTGACCAATAAGATGTTTGATATTGTGACTAGTTTTTTATTCATTCTTTGGGCTGGTGTCCTTATTGTAGCATTTAGTTATTAAATTTGCATAGATTGATTCACAAATATTTATGTATTAAAATAAAAAAATCATATACAATATATGATGACAGTAGATAAGGGAAACATATTTTATTGACAGCTTATCTTAAATCTTGTTTTATCTTAGTCATACATTTATGTTTTCTATTTATATTTTCTGTTATTTATGTAAAATCTGAGTTTATGGATGTTTTTTTTTATCTTATATAAAATTCTGAAGTAGCAATTTTTTTCAAGAGCGAATCTCTTAACAAAATCAAAATTATCATGTAAATGAAAAAAATGTGTTGTTTAAAGTAATACATGTGAGGATAGTGTGGGCCTAATTGAAGAATAATTAATTGAATGTCTTAAAACTAAACATGTCAAACAAAAACAATGCAGTTTACTGGCAGGAATGAATATAATTATATAGAAGGCATAGGAACGCAAAATTACAATGAACCGATACAGGTGACATAGGCAACTTTGAATGACGACAACACCACTTAAAATAGATAAGAAAATCCTATGCCAATCTATAACTATACTATTATCTACATAGAAAATGCTCTAAATAGTTAAAATGTCTGCCACTCAAACTAAGGATCATCAGTTTCCAGTTCGATCATGGCTCTCTTGAGTTAGAGGAACTCCACTGAGGTTTGTAAAGCAAAAAATATTAAAAAAAAATTAATTTTTCATACAGATCAACATGAGCACTTAAAACAGAAATATAAATAAAATTTTACTGAGAACTATACAAGAAATGCATTGAAAATTGTATGTTTGTGCTTAATAAGTTACTCTCAGTCCGATTTGAGTGAAAAGCGTTTAAACGCTTTTCAATTTTGGGTCAATTTTCACTATTATAATATTTTTTCTGGAAAAACGGAGCGAGCTTTTGCACATAAGATATAAGTATAGTTCTTCATCAAATGGAGTCATAATCTCAAAATATTATTCCCAGTTCGGCCATGTCAAAAAACCTCAGTGGAGTCCCTTTAATATTAATATAAGTAATCTCTGACCGAGAGATACATTCACAATCATATCTTAGATTGATAAGTTTTAACATGAATGATATAATTTATATGTTTGTATTTTATATGTTTGTTTTTCTTGTGTATTTTCAGAGTCACTAAAGATGTAGTATACATACTATCGAGACTGATGTACGGGGAATACCGAGTGAACGTTGGTTCTTTTATGAACAACTCAGACAAAACATGAGCAGTAGCTGTCTCACACGGACACCGCTCATCGAGCTAGCGATACTTTTGACGATTATAGTCATGACATGGGCAACAAATGGTACGTTCTTATAGTATTTTCAAAACTTTGTACTGTTCTTCTTGTTTAGTTGTGGAGACAATACATCTCTTAAGTCCCTAAATGCATTGCAGTTTTATATCTAGGATTGAAATGCCCTATCTTTAATATACTGTATTTTAATGTTACTGTATGAATCTGGCAGACTGCCTAGACTTACAAAACCCTTTATATAGAAAAAAGCAGTGGAATAAAATTTGGCATTGTGCTCACTATAACAAGTATACAATATAAGTTCTTTTACGCAAAATGATGAAAAGCTAAATAAAAAGACACACTCAGCAGTCTGATTATTGTCCTTTTATAACAACAGCAGCATCAGAAGTGTTTAAAATTAAGTCTATATAAATGATCACCAACAACTTCTAAAGCCCTTGTCTTTTTTTTTGACTAATTACGTTTTAACAAATACCATTAAAGATAAATACAAACTTTTCTTAACCCATTACTTCATATACACGCCTTTTAACGCCTTTATCACCCCCCCCCCCTTTTTGTTGTCTCAAATGATGAAAAAATGCCTTATTTAGGCCCCAAACACTTGTTTTTGTTTGAGAAATGTTGTTAAAAAAAGTGACCTCTTTTTCGGCGCGGCCCCCCAACCAAAAGATACATCAGGGGGTTGCCAGAAGGGGGATGTGCCCCCTTCTGTTTGGGGGGTTTGAAGGGGGGCGGAGTCCCCCTCATCGCCAAGAAAATTTTGGACTTGTGAGAGGCTGTAAATGACCCCAGATTGATCATAAGGTAACGTGTAACCAACGCTGAAAAGCATTTGACTCTATCTCAATCCATTGAAAAGTTACAGCACTTTGAAATCAATTTTGATGGAAAAAATCAACGCAAAATAGTGATTTTTGGCAATTTTGAGATGTCCCCTCGTTGCCATTGTAACAGAAAATTTAAGCCTGAGCATGTTGTTGCAAGGGCAATGGTCCAGTCAACATTTGTGCCAAGTTTGATTAGTGTTGAAGCAGTTTTTATAGTATTATAGCAATTTGAACTTGTAACGGGAGACTTTTCAATGAAAACAGCCATTTTTCACAAAATGCTCATGAAGCAATGGGTTAAACAACATTCAAATGTAACAAATTTTTTTTTAGTGGTGTCACAGGTAGAAATATCATTATATGAAACACCAGTGATATTATAATTTTTAAGTCACAATTTGAGCTTGACAAATAGTACAAAATGTATAATAATCACTATAATTATACCATGGAATGTATTTCATTCAAAAGAAATCACTATTCAAATATTCATCATTTGAACTGTACTTTTATTCATATGCATCTTATTAGGCAATGTTTGGATCGGAAAGTTGACTAGATTGAGATACATCATTTTCAGTACAACACCAGGTTTTTAACATTCATTCACTTCATTATGAAGACAATTTATGGGCCCATAACAGGAACAGATCGATCATTTAAGCAATAAACTCTCTCATTAATATGTGTTGGATTAATTCTAACAGCTCTCTTTAAAACTTTATCCTTAAAATCAAATTAAACAACAAGAAATGAATAGTAAGGTGACTTTAATGATGTCAGAGTTTTTCAGCAGACCAGTCTAAAACTAAAGCATTTTGATTGGGTTTTCTTGACTGAAAATTCAAAATGACCAATAATGTGGCTCCATTTTCAGACTGGTTTACTGAATCAAAATTTAATTTTCGGTTGAACTTGCAATGGCCAATTATTGACTTATATTTAAGATACTGAAGATTTTAGTAAACATTTTTTATATTTTAAACTTAGTAATTTTAAATAATAATGTTTTTTTTGTCTAAGGAGAGACAGAGAGAGAGGGAAAGAGTGTATATATATAAGATTAGTGGTTGTTTTTTGTGGTATTGTGATACGGGAAGATATATTATTGATAACATCAGTATATTTGTGTATGTCATACTCGCTGTATGCCTCCTGGCCTCCATAAATGTCACATCCAATGTAAATTATGTGTGTACTGTGGATATTTATCGTATGCGAAGGTGTGAATTTCTTCACCTTTTACTAGATTGGAAGACTTATCAAGTCACTGATGCGATACTTCACAGCTTAAAACATAAAGTAGCGAAAAATATTCTAATTATGTTAAACCATATCTGTTCTATTTTGCATTGAAATAAATATTTACTTTTCAATGTATTCATATAATATCCAGATCTTGCGGGAAATCTGCATAGAAATTAATGAAAACTTGCAAAATACGGTTTGACATGAGACTAATATCTTCTTTCATGATAAAAACGGTTGTTGGCGTGTGTCTCTGCATTTATTGTAGGGATAAAAAGGATCAGAATGAGGCTGCTTTTATGCCATGCCTTTTAAAGTTTTCAATTTCTGTAATTGTTTTTTTCATGGCATTTAATGGCTGAAGAATTTTTTTGCTGGCACATACTACAACGCTGTATTACTTTGTATGATATCATGCTGTCAGTTTATTTACTGTCACATTTCCGTTGTTCATATTGTACACATTATGTGGTGTTTTGGAAGATTCATGATACAGCAGTTGCCCCATTTGCTCATATTGTACACATACATGATGTCTCTGAAGATACAGCAGTCTCTCCATTTGCTCATATTGTACACATACATGATGTCCCTGAAGATACAGCAGTCTCTCCATTTGCTCATATTGTACACATACATGATGTCCCTGAAGATACAGCAGTCTCTCCATTTGCTCATATTGTACACATACATGATGTCCCTGAAGATACAGCAGTCTCTCCATTTGCTCATATTGTACACATACATGATGTCCCTGAAGATACAGCAAGTCTCTCCATTTGCTCATATTGTACACATACATGATGTCCCTGAAGATTCATAATACAGCAGTTGCCCCATTTGCTCATATTGTACACATACATGATGTCCCTGAAGATTCATAATACAGCAGTTGCCCCATTTGCTCATATTGTACACATACATAATGTCCCTGAAGATACAGCAGTCTCTCCATTTGCTCATATTGTACACATACATGGTGTCCCAGAAGATTCATAATACAGCAGTTGCCCCATTTGCTCATATTGTACACATACATGGTGTCCCTGAAGATACAGCAGTTTCTCCATTTGCTCATATTGTACACATACATGGTGTCCCTGAAGATACAGCAGTTTCTCCATTCTAACCCTGATTCTTTGCATGCCTGTAGAGGACAGATAGATCACATGACCTTGGTTTAAAAGATCATTAATAAAGACCATTAGTGTAGTTCTTTTGTTTGATATGATGCAACAAAAGGAATGTCTTTATCTTGACCTAAGAAAGCCCAACCAAAGTTAATTAAATTGTAGAATTATATTTCTTAACAATTTATTTATTATAATTATATATACATGTATATATATATAACTTATTATTTACAGTGCATCCATAACATCACAGGAACAGTGCACTGCTCTTTTGAACATTATGCAAAAAAAAACAACAATCTTATTTAGGAATTGTCCATTTTACCCACAATAGTTCATTATGTTGATTCTGTACAACATACATTTTGACTTAACCTACAACCGCCTCCGTGGTCGAGGGGTTAGAGCCGATGACTTCTAATCCAGTTACCTCTCTGGCTTGGGTTCGATCCCCTTGAGATGCTTTGGTAGTTTAGCGTGGAGGAAGGTAGTCTAGTACTGGTATTTTCTCCAGGAACGATGGTTAGGAAACTACCCGCCTATATGACTGAAATACTGTTGGGGAAAAGGCGTAAAATGAAACAAACAAACCAAACTTAACCTACTAGCGCCAAATAAATTTACCCTTATAAACAGTGCACACTTAAAACCAGCCAGCGCATCCCTGTAAATGGTCTGCAGGTTAACTATTTAGACAGTACATAGGTTGTTGTTGTTGTTTTTGCCTCTAAATGATGTTTGGTTTTGTCCATATTGAAAGATGGACATGTCTATTTAAGAATTTTACAAGTTAAGGGTTATTTTGAACAAGTTATCAAAGCTTTCAGTGAGTTTGATTTTTTATTGACCAGCTGTTACAAAAATTATAAAATATGCATAAAATAAAAACAATACTTGAAGTCTGTACCTGATGTCACCTAACCAATCTTGATCAAAATATAATGAAAAAGTAATATTTTAGTAAATTCAAAGATCAAAGAAAAATTCATCCAGTGACATTTTTTCTTTAATAGTTGAATTAATGGTTGAAAAGGGTGATGTGAGTCATTGAACATTTAGTGGACACTTTACAAGCAAGTCTGCCCATTACCACTAGATTATGGAAATAAATCATTCTGAATTTAAATATGAATGCTTTCAAAACAACAACAAAGAACACCAGTTTTTATACAATTTAAACACATTTGTATGCATTTAATAACAGATATTTCATTTTTTCTAGATTTTTTTTTTCTTCAAAATTTCTAATTTTATCATGAAAAGAGTGCTTACTTTATCATAATATCAAAAAAATAAGTTGTTAGATTAAACTTGCAATAGCTTCCTAGTATTTATTTTGGACAAGTGTCGAAGATTCAGGTTACAGTTAAGAGTTTATCAAATATTTGTACAAGCTTTATAGAAGAGCTTCCCCTCTTTTCTGTTTATTTTAAGGTTTATTTTATTGCTAAATTTTGACACATAAAAATCCTCAATTGCCTAAAATTAAGCTTAAATCTTCATAAAACTTGGCAACAAGTTTTTAAGGCTTTGAGGTCAATTTTATGTAAACTGTGGAGAAGCTGTTCCAAACTGTTGGACTGAATTATAAACAAGTTGTCTGCTGCATAACCAGAAATCTTTTCCAGAATAAATAAAGTGTAGCAAGTTTTTTTTTTAAACAAAAATGTACAATTTATAAAGAGATCTTCATTTAACTAACTGTAGAAAAGTTAGAATTGCAATTGAATTTGTTTGAATGTTGGTTTTTTTCCCTTATCTTTTTGAGGAAAACTGAAAGTAAGTTCTCTATGGACATGAGTGTTCAAAATGATTTATTTTATTATAAAATATT